CACCAGACAAGGAGCAAAGTCGTCACCAACTACGCGGACATCAAGGACGTCAGCATCACCGAAAACGACCAAGGCAAGGCTGCAGGAAATGGCGACCGTGACGACTGTAAAACAAGGAGCGAAGACGTCACCAACTGCGCGAACGTCAAGGACGTCTGCATCACCGATAATGACCAAGGCAAGGCTGCTGGAATTGGTAACCGTGACGGCTGCAAAACGAGGAGAGAAGGGGACCAGAATGACAAAGACGTCACCAACTGCCCGAGCAACAACGTGGCGGTGGAAGACGTCAAAGCAAAGGTGACGACTCCGCAGGGTGCAGCCGACCAACTGGACGAGAACGGCGGCCCCGGTGGCAACTTCACGGACGTCGCGGCCAGGGCGCCGGGCGTCAAGGCAAGGGCTGTACCACAAGGAAACATGCTCGCCACGAAGACGGGATAGGACCGGGCGATGAAACGGCGTGCAAGGAGACGCCTCAGGAGACGTATTACGGTGGTCGTCCGGCGGCCCGGCGCGACGGATCGAAGGACGTCAGCGGAGGGTCAAGGCGTCAACTGCGAGCCGGCGCCGCCTGATCCATCGGGCGAGGAGGCGGTGACAGAAATATGCACGGCAAGGACTGCCGCGCTTCCCAGTGACAGGGTGCGATGGAGTGGAAGGGTCCTGAACAGTATGGCCCTATTTATAGGACTGGCGGGAGTGTTGGCTACCGCCCTTCTACTGACCGCCGCCCTCGACCACCCCGAGCCAGCAGCCCGTCACCTCGCTGCTCCCGTCCAAGACAAGATGGCGCACGGTACCGAGGACTGGGTCGAGATTTACAGGCGCATCCACAGGTGCAATACGGCGGAACAGCTGCGCCGCCATTTGGGGCTGGTGAACCGACCACGCCCGGACAGCCCTGTAAACTGGGGCTCCGGTGACGATTCCGATAGCGGCGAGGAGCTGGACATCGGCCAGGACGTCCCGCCTATGATGAGGGGGCGCGGCTGGGCGGCGGTGGCCAGCGACGAGTCGGGCACAACCATTCGAGACCAGTCCGAGTGGCAACCCGCGGCAAAACCCAAGAAATGGGAGTTGGAGCCGCAAGACTCCTGGAGCGTCACGTGGACGCGGTCGCCTACAAGCAAGCGGTTGCGACGGGTGGCGAGAGGCCGCGGGGATGACGACCCGTGGCGCGACATCGTCCAGCCCCATTGGGGGGGTGACTGGACCCTACATCAAGGAGGGCGCTGGTGGACCAGCGAAGAGAAGGAGAACAGGGCGACGGGCGGTGAGACGACAATGCCCAAGGGATACCGGTGGCCAGTTCGGGCTCAACCAGACTGGGGCGGCAGTTGGATCTGAGCCAAATAATATACGAAGGGGACGACCAGCTGCGTACCACCACTCCAACCTGCCGGAGCATCCAAAGACGAAGAATGACTCGCGAGGACGCTTCGTAGCAGGGGGGGAAGAATGTGAGGGGAGCCGTAGGGGGTATGTACATTAGCACAGAAAGGGGTTTGTCTTGTATATTAACACGGGAGAAACATTGTATATTATAGGCACTGGGCATTGTACAATAGGGACTCTTTAGAAGTGCTGTATAGTGGGGTTTACTAAGGGCAACTGGGCTGAGTGATAATGAAATAGACAAAGGGGATGAATGCCGTATTGGTCAATATGGAAAAGGGTGGCGCTGGGTACCCACGGGTCGGTGAGACGAACGGACATGAATCGGGGAGGTTCAAATTACAAACTGGGCGGGTATGCCAGAATCTGGGTGACTCACCCAATTTTGGCATGACCCTTGAACTGCCTTGGACATGGGGTATATAAACGGGAACACCGGAACACTTCTGTAACCAGAAAACTTGCCGTCAAGTTCATCTCCGACTGGAACCCGAGTCGAATGGGTAAACGGGCCGAGTCCCGTCCAGCCTCGAAGGGCATTCGCCCCTTACACGGACCATCTGGCGGAGCTCAATCCCTCGATCGTCCCACCCCATTTCTCTCTTTGTCTCCCGCTCCATCCATTCGGGACCGGTGTTGAGCATGGCCCCCACGGTAGTCTTCTTCCCCACCACATATTCACAAAGGCAGCAGCGCTCATCGCGCGTGCACGCTCGGCACCCCTTGGTGCCATAGTCATTTCCATCCCCGGGCTGCCTCCGCCACCAGGCGCCCTCCTCTCATGCCGTCAAAGCATGGGCCTCTAGCTCCGAACGGCCCCGCTTCATCCAGGCCGTCACCCGATCGCGGTAGTGGGGGATCCACCCCGCCGGTCCCTCTTTCTCTGCGGCTTCAATTTGCCGCCTCGTTTCCTCCCTTTCCGCCTAGAGGCTCAGCGTGGAGGACAGCCAAAACCCCTCAATGTAGTTGCGGAGGGGGAGGGATGCTCGGACTTGCATCCACACCTTCGAGCGGGAAACGGCAAGGGCTTCCCAACGGGCGCAGATGGAGCAGCGGAGGAAGTCCACAGGTAGGCCCCCTTCACCTTCAGCAGGGGAGATCGAATTCCCTTTGCGGAGCCAAACAAACAGGCAGGGCGGTGCATGGTCCCCATCCGCCTCCGCCGCGCGCCATGCCGCCTCCCGCTCCCTTGTCCACAAAAATGGGTCATCCAAAACCCGCTCACGAATGGCCTAATCGAGGGCGAACGCCCACCTCCACGTGGGCACCACAGCGATAAAGAAAATGTGAAGGTGGAGGCATAGTGGCCCCCCGGTGCAGGTGAGGCGCCACTTGGTGTTGGCCGGCCATGCCATCTCCATCCAAGGCTCAGGAAGCCCGTCTCCATTCGCTCGAGGCCATGGGAATGGGGCGCCAATGTTGCCCGCCACAACCACTCTCAAAGCGCGTTGTTTCTCCTTCAACCAGCCTCCTGGTCGCGGCTCCCATTCAGGTCGCGACGGGGCCAAAGAGGAGCCTCCCGCCTCTGCGCATGGATGGATGGTCGCATCCATTTTTTGGCGAGGTCGCTCTGAGCGTTCCGCGAGCTTGGTGCGGACCTCCTAGTTGGCCCTGCACCAACAGAATGCTCCGAACGCCGTGTTGCTCTCGACTCGGCTGGGCGGAACGGCCACCCCTTTCGGGCCCTAGGGGCCAGGCCTCCAACGCCCGTTCGGAGGCATTCGGTGAATTCCCAGGTCACACCCGGCCTGGAAAATGTCCAACGTACGGCAGACCTATACTACTGATTGTATCTTTTACTTTACATATAAAGATATATCTGACTTGTTGCTTGTTGACTACCCTTCCGTCCAATCCCACTTTCCACGATGGGGACGCACTGCCCCTTGAAATTGTACATGTTCCCAACACGTTTTTTTCCAGTTCATTGTGAATTCTCCCAATCCAAGGTCCAAGGGGACCACGGACTTTTCGAGGCCAACGGCCTGATGAACTGCTGCCCCTTTTTGACGCTAAGATACGCTCAAATGTATAGCATCAATGGCCCCAACTGGCATGAAAAGGTGCCGTGTTCTGGATACAATCCCACTCAACATGTCTCCCAATACACCTCACACTTTGAACAATGCTGCCCAAAACAATCCAAGGAATGCTCCTTGACGGCCTGCCGACCCCTTCACACGTTTGCCCCTATTCAGCAGTGGCAGGTCCGCTGTTCATACCACCAAATACATAAGAACTTCTTACCATCAATCACCAGCCAGCGGCGTCCCCAAAATGACATCTAATTCAATGACAAGGCAGCCAGCGTCACAGCCATATTCCGGCCCATAACTTCCCCAATCCAAATCAGTCCCCGTTTTTTTATTAAACTCCTGTTGATTAGCTGCACATGCTGATAGGATTTTGGCAGCGTTACGCCCATATCCCCAGCCAGCTTTTTACCTAAAACTATGTCCCGACTGTCTGGCATTTCCGCAGTAAAACGTGTTGTTTTCTGGCCAAATTTTGACAGCGTTTCCCCCGCTTTTCGGGTTTTCACAACTTTGACGATCTCATAAATGCCCAATTTAATAGGGCAAGTGGTGCAAACCCTATTTCTGCCTCCATATCTTGTTTGCAAATTGATTTGGCAAGTGCCTTTAACTATAGCTTTATATTCCAACCCTTAGAAATGTGTCTTTCATTCTGTTTTTTTGTCTGACGCCTTCTACATGCCTTGCCACTTTCTTAGATCGAAGCAGGCCTATCAGCATGCTTTCCTTGCTTTTCTAGCAACGCTGTGCGGCTGTCCATGTCAATGCTGACTGGTCTATGGTGTTGTGCCACCCAGTCAGTCGCCATGTGCTAGTCATGAGCCAGTCATTGGGTGACATGGCTTCATGACTAACGGCGAATTTAACAAACACAAATATTACTTGAATAAATTTACATGTTGTTGCCATGATTCATGCTGCACTCTAGCTCAGGCGCAAGGAAGAGGCGGGCACTTATCACCGGCGGTGTTGTGTGGATCAAGTATGAGAGGTTCGCTACGATGCTTCTTGCATTGGTCGGTTTGGGATCCTGACCGATTGGATTTACGTGTCGTTGAAAATGTACTTGTGAAAATGTTAGCCGCATTTTTAGCCACATTTACACTCCTCCCAGAATAATACGCGTATTTTCTGCATTGTTATTTTTAGCCGTATCCTTTTTCCCAAGGCTGGCTGGTTGATCAAATGCTGAGGAATCGACCCTTTACAGCACTGCCAAGATGTTCTACGCATATCCGAAACTACTCTGTAACGTACGGTGGGTGGCCTCCGGTTGCGCAGCGACCCCCATGCGCGCATGGCAACCCACTTCCTTTTGGGCTGAATCCCGAATCCGCAAAGAAACACTGCTCTCCTCGGCCGTAATCACCGCGCCACATTAATAATGACTACAGATCCGTGAGGGATGCCCAATAGCCCGAGGGCGTGGCGTCCCCTGCCGCGCTGTTACCGCGCACTCCGCATCGCTCGGCTGGCCCAAGGGTTGACCGCCCCCGGGCTGCGTCGACAAGCTCGCTCGCCTCGCGAACAAGCGCACATCGACCGCCCGCGCTCCCAGCAGCCACAATGCCACCGCCATTGCCATTCCCTGTGCGTGGATCCCCGGCGCCCGGTGCATGCGTTGACGAGCGGGCAGCGATTCTGCAGCCACGGGCCTGGAACTCGAACGCAAACTCTTTCGAGCGCCGGCCAGGCTCCCTTGCCTCGCTGGCTGTCCGCTGGCGCGCTTTATTTATTCTGAGTCATGATCACATCCCTCGCTGCGCAGGGCTGTCTCGACTGGGCGGGGCAGCAGGTAGCGCACCCAAACTGGCGGACCACCCACTCCCTGCTGTTCCTGGCGCAGCTCGCCTTCTCCGGGATGCACGGTGAGTGGCCCCCGCGCTTTCGTTCGCCCGCCCACCTCCAGGCGGGATTCAATCATGCCCATCCCATTGCCTGTCAGCACACAAGCCCTGTGCGTCCTCACAAACGCCTCTGGGCGAGTCGACAAGGGGTTTTCGCAGACGCCGCCTGGGGCGACGCGCCTAGTGGCTCGTCGCCGGATTTTTGACGCTCTCGTTCCACGGGCGCGGGCGTCGCGTTTGGGCGTTGGAGACTCTGCCTGCCGCACGATTGCGACCGGGGGCCCCTCGTTGCCAGTCGTCACCGTCGTACTGACCGGCTCAATTTTCGTACACAGACCCAGTAGTGCACAGTAACATTTACCCAGCGCAGCAAATTCGCCGTAAAGATGAGATACAATCATTCGTTTCCGTCCGTTTGCCCCCCGAAAAAGGCGCCCCTCCCACCCCAAAGCCGGTCCGCCGCCCCCGCCGGACGCCAGTACAGTGCGCAGGTGCATTGTGCACAGGTCACCCACAGGAACCCGCCAGTCATCAACTCGCTTTTAGAGAAGATGAGCGAGCTGGATGAGTTAGCGGAGAAAGAATCCCTTTATTCGAATGAAAGAGCCATTGTCCTGACGAATCGACCAGACCTCGCTCTTTGGGCGCGTGATGCCGCGCCTCTCACTCACGTCCGCCGAGCTCAAGGCACCCAGCCCCTGGATCTCGGACACGTGGTCCAGTTTTTTGGTCTCCCCGTGCGCCCAGAAGCAATCGAAGTGCATCCAGGAGGTTGTCTTGTAGCCCTCCAGGTCCTGCAGCATCAGCGCCAGCCGCAGGGCGCCCTTGTCGATTAACTGCCGGCACTTCACGCACTTTGACCTGGCCCAAAACTCTTCGTCAACGAAAGGGATGCGCGCCACACAGCAAGCGCTCCCCACCTCCTGACCAAGAACATCTTGCCAAGCTCTCAAAGTTGAGAAATGCGGGGCAAGAAAACTGCTGTCAATCGAAAGACAGCGCGACACACAATGGGTATTCCTCTCCCCTGAAGGATCTTGCCATGCTTTGTCAGGAGCTGAGAAACGCCAGTTAGGGGCGTGTCCAGTGCGACGGAGGGCATGACGCCTGCACCTGTTGGACTTGGCGTACTCCGTCTTGGCGTCGTGCTGGGGCCGCCGACCGGCGCTCTCGCTCACGCCCAGGTCTCTCGTGCTGTAACGCTTCAGCATGGCGTCGGCGGTGTGCGTCCAATCCGCAAATCGAGTGTGTACGCGGCAAGAACCGAGCTACAATCAGCGGCCTGACTGGCTTAGCCCCCTGGAAAACTCTAAAAACATAACCGAGCATTAAAGAAAACCAAGCCTAAAACCTAGACCTAAAATCTAACAAGAACCGAAAGAAACAGTCAGGGCCCTGACTGTGACTGACGCTCTTGACGCATGAACAGCGTCCAATTCGATCTCGACGTTCTTGGCCGCTTTCCGACGGGCGACTGGACTGTGGGAGGGGGTTGGTGACCGTGTCCATTGTCCACTGAGGATAACATGTCGAGGAAGAGATTATTGCGGGGAGAAAGTTCAGTTCATATGTTCAACGGTAGGCTTCCGCTGTATTGCGTCCCACTGGAAGATGTGCGCATGCTCGACATGCTGCATTGATCGTCTTCACTTGTTGGCACCAACTCAGCAGCGCGACTCGGGATTGTGAGCGTAACTGAAGTCAGCTTGTGTGAAGAATTGATAGCGACGCCACCCCCGATTTGCTGAAGACCAACAGCTAATCAGCTGGTTCAGTCCCTTTGGTCCATGCTTCGGGGCACATACCACAGCGACGGCTGAGTTCTGACAGCTTTTCGCACCGCCTCCCATTGTGTTTCTTTTATCTATATCCTAACTCATATCAAAGAATTGCTTTGATATCCTCTCGGTGTTCAGCAAAGATGGGCCAATTGGCACATCTGCTCCGGCACCCTTGGATTTTCATGGATATGTATAGAAGAAAGTGCGGTCAGAGCCATTATTCGCCAGTCAGACATAAAAGGCATTCATTGTGCTGTTCCGAATTCACAAGTTGCATTCAGAAGCGATCAGCTCGTCTGAACACTAGCATTTCTGCATATGTATGTTTGGGATCAACTCGCAGTGCATGAAGTCCTTATCAGGGAGTATGGGTAGGCTTTAGCAATGTGCCAGGCATTCTCGCAGCGGATTCTGCCATTTTTGTCTGCGGCGATTGCCCCCACAGCAGTTGTGGACCAGGCAATCGAGAAAATTTATTTGAATTGGAGCAGGGTGACAGTGTACCCTTGACACTCTCAGTGGGAGGTTCTGTTTGAAACATGTACCTTTGTCTGGTTGCCAATTAGTTGCTACAGGCAGTCTCTCAACTGCAGGGGACGCCGTGGCCACCTGCGACATTGCTTTGCTCCTCCCTGCCCTGCTCTAATAGTTGATTCGGTATTTTGGATTAAGTGGAGCACTTAAGCAGAAACTGCTGAAGCGTCGGTACTTCAAGTATAAGGTTGGTTTGTGCCGAAAAACGTTGGTCAAATGTAACTGACGGACATTGGCGTTGCTTGACGGACATTGGCGTTGCTTGGCAAACGAACGGCGAAGGGCACCGGTGATGGGAGCTGAGCTGGTATGCCCATTACGTGCGTCGGATGGCCAGGGGATCTCGCCAGACAGCCTGTGTAATGTACAATATGGATTAATCGTAAGCCAATAATATGTACGTAAGACACATACACATGCATGTATATATATTGAATTCCAATATATTGCACGATCTTCAGTGTATTGCAATATTGAGACGCGTGGGATATGTTGTAGCTCGATATGCCAGCTTTCTAAAACCAGGCAAGAGTGCCGATAAAAATTGTTAGAATTTGCAAAAGAGACTTGGGTAGGAGATTGCGCATATGTATACTAAGGCCTGCTGCTTCCCATGCCTCGATCTACTCTAGAAGTCACCATCCATATGTATATGCGTGTATGCACTCGTATGCCATGTGTCTTTAGTTCATTCTCCGACATTCCAAAAGTCGCAAGACCCCCATTCATGCTATTCTGACCCGTGTCTGTTTCTGCTGCAGTGATGTCCAATCCCGCGCTGCATTATCTGCCCCCACTGGTGTTTGCAGCCATCCGTCTTTCCTTGGCGCTTCCATTCCTTTTCCTCACATCGAAGCAGGCCAGTGGATTGAATCGCTTACCCCCGATGCGCACGTGAGACATGCACGACTGCATGCGCATAATTTGCGTTTCAGTACACCAGGCATCTCACAAGATATGATCCTGATGCCACGCGTCCGCACTGTTGGGTTCTCTTTTGTCATTTGGCGTGGATTGCGCTGCAATTTATCATGAGCGATGCCTGCCATGAAACGCCACCAACATGGTTTTGTGCTGGATGCATCGATGCGTGCGCAATTAGCGTCGCCAGTTCCTACAAATGCCCTCGCCTTTCTGCATAAAACTCAATCCTGGCGTCACTGTGGCCATATCCGCGATGATGTGCGCAATAAGATTGCCTTGTTTACTGTCATTGGCATGCCATTCGGATGCACGTGTGCGTTGTACATGCAATGGACAACCATTTAGGCTTTGTTCTTTGACATCATTCCCAAAATCTCTTGTGCAGTCAACTCCTCCGATTCAGTCTGTTTTCAATGCTATTTTTTTTTTTGCCTATGTGCTCCACATCAATTGCACAGACACCTGTGTATGTGCTGGAGCGTGTGCCTGTTGTGCATAACAGATGCGTGGATGTAATTCCACAGGAGGGTGAAGTAACGATGGGCTGGCGGGACAACGCGCAACTCCTTGTGCTTGGCATCACAGGTGTGGCCATACCACAGAGCATCATATTCGTGGCCAACGAGCTGGGTGGAGCCGGACTGGTGGGGATTCTCACCCCCCTCAGCACTGTCTTCACAGCCGCGTTGGCTGGGCTACTGGGACTGGAAAGGATCGGCCTTTTAAAGGTGCGTAGGCCTTTCTTCAGGGCACAAGGTTCTTATGGAGACACTGATTGATAAAGAAATTGTCGACCGGACAAAATTTCAAGCCACTGCCGTTTATTATTGGCCGATATAGGGCGCTGCTCAACCGCATGTGCAGTGCTCTCCAATGTGGTTGTGTCCCACATTTCACTCATTGACCTTGAGTGGCACCAGTGGGCCAGCCCACGTCGAAATGGAGTTTGATCCAGGCTCGCAACTCCGCAGGAGGCGACCGGATACGTACACTACGTTCCACAGCACAGCTTGAGGTTTTCCACTCGGCATTCTATTTACGCACCCGCGCTGAGGTCCAGGCTGCGGACTTGCTGAAGTCTGGATGACTTTGATCCCAACGACGTAATGCACCCTGTCGAGCGCGGAGGCGTCCGGCCTGTACCAACCTTTCCCCTTCGAAGGCAATCTGAGCTGCAGTTAGGCAGAGCACGCAAATGATAGTCACTTGATGTGTTGGGCGTCGTTGCTGTGTTCCAATACTTAAAAATTCATCAAAAATTCATCAAAAATGTCCTGTTCTTTGTGGTATTGATTTCCAGTGATCCGGGATACCAGCAGGCACAACACGGTTGCGCCGTTGTATCCAGCACACTGGCTGCTGCACAGTTGATTGCTTGCGACATTCCCACAACTCAGCAGTCCCTCGCCGACGAGCAACGACGTTGCTACGCAGCATATACTCTGTATGTGCTTCAGTCGTCAACAAGTAATTCAGCATGCTATGTCCTTCAATGTCCGTTGCGGTTCAGCCTGGAAAGGTCTTACCCTTTGGCGTGCCTGCGGAAACAGATGGCTGGTGTGGGGATGGCAGCCGTGGGAGCCGCGCTTGTTGCTGTCGCTGATGGCGGCAACGTGTCTGGGAGGAGCCCTTGGGCTGCGATTGCAATGATAGCGAACACCTTCAGTTACGCTCTCTACACGGTAATGGATATGCAGCTTCTTGAGACATTGTTGATGGAGTCGTGCCCTTCAAAGCCTTACCATTGCAAAGGCAACTCTTGTTACGTATCAAACCAAGTTTGTTTGAGTAGTAAAACGCTCGTTATTTGTCAAGTTTATTTAAATGAAGATTGGTAAAATAACAACCGCTCTATGTAGTTGTTCGAGGAATCAACGGCTTTTCCCTGTGCACGACAGAGCAGCCGATCGTTCGACTTCGAGTGTCCAATATATAGTCATTTTGTCCAAAACTGTCTTCCTTGAACGTGCCTTGGACGAAAGAAAGCGGTGCTCGTGCACCTTGTAGGTGGTGACGGGAATGCGTACATCTAATGCAGCCTCCATGGCATCTGAGATGCCGTGCATCAACTTCGAGGCATAAGTAGTGTTTCATGGGTGCGGAACCTAAAAGCAGAAGTGTCCAATATTGCCTTTCCTGGTGAGGCGTATTTATAAGAAGTTCGCAATGTTCAGTTCCCGGGACTCCATTCGGCAGCTGTTAGTGCAGCGTCCCCAGAAACTCCCTGATGGCCGCACGTGGAATTCTCCTCGAAGCATATGCCGATAGTATCAGCTGATGCAGCAAATCGCTGGAATTGGGCTGCCTACGTCCTGTCATTTCCGCTGTCCAATTGTTGAAGGTCACCGTGGTTGTTCCCAAACATGTACTATGCATCCTAGATTTGATGAACAATGCATCGGAGGAAAATCAAATCTTGTAACCTGGAAGTGGCTGATGGGCAATTATTTTGTCAATGCTTCGTTCCTCCCCTACAGGACAAGGTCATCCTGTTTTGACTGCTTTAAATAATGTTCAAAGCAATTATGTTGAGCCCAACAAATGAGTAATATCAGTAGCAAACGCAGATCCACAGCATGGATCCACATAACCGTGGATGTGATGATACATTGTCGGACTCACTTGGGACATTCCAACCTCCGTGCGAATTGGCTCCTGGATAGACGGGCCATCTGCCATGGCAGCATGATAGAGGGACATGTGATGCGCATCAATATCATCAGGCGCTTCCCAACACAACGGAGGTTTTTCCGATGCCTATCATTTCCGGATAGTAAGGTGATGAAGGGGCCACGCCAGTACAAGATCCCAAAACTAATTCTAAGAACAATTTAAAACCTCGAAAATATACCTCCATGGCCTTTATTTATGACCTTCGTCTCCCGGGAAAAAAGTGTATCGGACATTTGTGTCAAAATGCAGTTCAGCAAGTGCCGAATTTGGCCCATCGTGGCCCATCTAACAATCTTGCGCTCGTGTGCAGAACCTGATGTACCTGTTCCTAATCCGAAAGCCGCACCCATTCACGGCATACTTCAAGGCAGTGACGTTCGGCCTGCTGTGCATTCTGCCCGCCGCGGTCGCTCAAGCCCGCTTCAGACCTGTGGACTGGCGCCTAGTGCCCTACTGGGTGTGGTACGTCGAAATTTACGTTGGCGTCGTGGTCACTTCGGGAGCCCACGCGATGATTGCCTGGGTGGTAAGCACAGGGAGGGCGGAATTGGTTGGCTTGGATTGTGCCGGCAAAGGACTGGCGGTGTCATTGCCTTTGGGAGAGTAACGAAGCAACAACGCACAGTTCAAGGAGCCCAGCTATCTTTAATCTGGGGATCAATTTTAATGTGTGTCCAATTAATCACAAACGACTGAAGCAAAAACAAGTTCTTTCGGACCGAAATGTTGCAAAATGGAAAATTTTCGACATCGGTGTCTGGATCTGTTCCAGGTGCAGCACGTCGCTCCAGTCCTACCGGGTGTCTACGGCGCATTAACGCCGGCGCTGACTGTGGGAATGGCGGCCCTGTTCCTCGGGGAACGCTTCCAGTTGGGGGACATTGGATGTGTGGCCCTCATATTGACGGGAATGTTGCTCGTCCTCCTAGCGCGATTCCGAGACTCGAAGGTGAAAGGGCCCCGTATTTCCAACAGGGCTGTTTCTTTTCTGGCATCCCACATATTCGTCACATATTCTTCACTGAATTCCTTTTTTTGGCCATGGAAAGACAGCGCTGGTCCCCTACACCTTACAAGCAATTTCATGTTGCTGAGTATGTCTTATCACGGCATGAGAAACACGTGCATTTGGAAACCAGAAATGTAAATGGAGCATAGTCGCTGAAGCATGAAATGAACTATCAACGTGGCTGCCGATCTTGCTGCGAAATTGTGTTCATGGATGTCGTAAGCGCGCTCGTGACGGCACACCAGTAAGTTACGCAGAGCAAGTCTTTCAATCCAACCATGAGGCAAACAGGAGTACTGGCATTGAGTATCAATAGATTTGAGACTGCCAACTGTATCTCCTGTTTTCGGTGTTTTCTGTGCACAGATGCAGCGCATGTTCTGCATACCGCTGCGCCGTTTCGAATGTTGCCATACTGGCACTTGTCGATGGCAGCGCAACTGTCGGAAAACGGCCCATCCAATATGCGCTGCACATTTACAGCGTCGATTGCTAAATAATTAAAACTTGACGTATAACATTGCTTGACTATGTAGTAATGTTATGCAATTCAGCCAATGGTCACTTTGGCTGTGCATCTTTTCTTCAAACAGAGCTGCCGTCGTTCCAGATATTTGATCATAATTGCGGATGGTTGTTAACGTCCAGTTATCAACTGGCTGTTATCAACTGGGATGACTGGCCACGGCCAGCTGATCAGCTGGGCAATTCCCAGGCACAAAGTTTGTTCATATTCGGCAACAGCCTTCCAGGTCGACTTGATGCTGCCAGGTTATCTTTAATGCTATCACGTAATGCTGTGATCTGCTAAGGCAGTTCAGCACGTCACGAGCATCACTCACGTTGCCGAGATAGAAAAAATACTGTTACAACTTTTGCATTTCTGTAACGGGTTTACCGTTATTTTTGCATGACTGGCGGTACATGCTTGTTCATTTATAACGTATGGGCGTGTATAGACGTATTGCGGCACTCCTGCCCACTCCCCAGACCTTCTTCAGTTCACCGGAATCTGTAAATGAGATATTCCACAGGTGATGCAAACGTTAATGCCGCACTCAGATCATGTGGCGCTGCAGGCCAATGTTGCTTCACAGCTGCCAGAGAAGGCAGAGGCGAAGCATGTGGATGGCGACGAAGCGATGGAAACTCTGCTTGGCGTGTGGAAGGGGGTTGTGGCAGGAGAGAAGAGCGAATTTCAGCTGTTGAGGGATCTGGAGAATCTCGATGGAGGGACTTTGACCGTGAACTCTTTTCGAATCGAAAGGGATTTAGTGTTTTGAGCGTGGGAAAATAAAAGCGGGCAAGGGGTGAGGTGCAACATGTTTTTTTGTATCCTCTGGCTTTTTTCTTGCAGTATTGAAAGGGTGTGGAGTGATGGGCGCTGGCATATTGATCACTGCTCATGAATGTGCATGGAAATTGATCTGGCAGGAAAGCAGAAACTGCCCTTGGCGCTCATCATACGTTTCAGTTCTTGTGGATCAAATGTGACATGTGTTTCGAGGCAACCTCGATGCCGATTTTGTTAAGGTTATGTGCTCAATGTAAGTAACGCTGTGGCGTTAGCCCAAACCAAGACTATACCCCACATCTGTGCTACCCAATTGCCTTTGTTATTTGTTGCCAGAACACTTGAGAATTCCATACAATGGGAAGCGGAGTTCTGTACTTCAGATACAGTATTTTCTTGGCTTTCCAATGCGAGGAATGTGATCGATAGATGTAACAGATATTTGTCGAATTTCAGATCCAATCCAAGACATATTTCCGGGCTACAACTGCCCTGTTCTGGTAGCAGTAATGATAAAAATTTCCCGTTGCAGCACCGGTCGTGTGCTGCAGCAGAAATACAAATACTGCCCAGTGTTCTTTCACCACAAATGCAAGGGGTTCACGATCGTGTGTGCCAGTGAGTCAATTGGGTCATTTGCCAGTGGATACAAAACCTAGACAGAAGATCACGCGCATTGATCACGTACAACTTCCCTCGAATGATGCACAGGGAGATGCGCACGCTTCATCACGTTGCTGCAATTGACATGATGGGACGTAAGCCTGAAGGTCACATGTGACCTTGGACTATTGTTGGGCGTGTCAAATGCATGAAGGGCCCGATTTGCGGCCGTGAAAATCAGGAACTCGCTGCCGAGGCTCGATACGGGCAGGCAGAAGCACTTTGAGGGAATTTGCAGAAAGCCGCGCTGGATCCTTACTCACCCAATGTCATGTTTTGTTAGACTATTTGTTAATAGAAAGGTTGAAATGTTGCCAGCCACGGACAAGGCAATGAGGGCGCAATCGGGGCAACTAGTCCAATGGATAGGCCTGCACTAGATTGCGCAACCATGAAGGAAGGAATGAGGAAAAGAAGCACCGATGGATAGAAGGCGGATCAATTTTCGGATTTCGGTGAACGTCGGACCTTGCGTGCCAGCCTCGGAGAGCTCATTGGAGGGGTTGGGCGATCTGGCGGTCACGTCCTGGCCATTGCCTGTATGCGATATGCAAATCCTAACGCATGCAGCCAATGGAGTTGCATGTCGGATGAAGTGCATGAATGTCGTGTGGCGTATGTACAGCAATTTGCGTATCATGTTGGATGCTGAGCATGTGCCCCCTGAGTACGTTCCCATTGAGTGTGTCCCCACCACTCCACATAAAGTACTGGATCTTGATTAATCTCCACCACCCTGCCAGTAACATCTGGGGTTGTGCTCTAAGGACAACGCAACATGCGCCGCCAGAGTGGGTCTCACTACCTTGTGATCATAATACCCTGCCGAACTGGATCAAGTCAGTTGGCGTCCGGGTTCGAATGAAGTACGTGTACTTCATTGTGTACAATTCGCGAATGGCATGTTAATTACTGGACGAGCATCCTGCCAAACTTTCGTTGCTGAAACGCCGCTCTAGGGCCTGGCCAAAAGCTCGCAGGAGAAGTTTGGAAGGACGACGTGCTTTGGAACATTGGCTCAATTGAATTGGCGTCCCGGCCAGGCGGAGGTCGACATCCTGGCGGGACATCATGCGCTGGGGTTTGTCTGCTCTACATTGCAGATGTGCGCCGCCGGCGTCTGAGCGCCCGCTCGAAGACTTGGCGCAGCGCCACACTCCGAATCCTCCTGTGAGAGCTGCGGCAGTGGCTCATCTGGCACCGAATTTAAGTGGCTCACGATGGAGTGTCGTAACTTTGAAAACGCATCCTACATGGGCTGGATCCACCCGTTCGGCAGGCACAAAATTTTAAATTTGCATTCACAAGGGCAGTACATTGTTGCCCCTGAAGGTGTCCTCAAAGCAGAATCGCACAGCATGCACAAAACACCTCATCTCGGCTTCTCGTTGTTTCTTTCCAGATTCTCAATCGCCCTCAAGAAGTAGGCTACATCCGGTGCTTGGTCCAAATTGGTCCAAATACTTACTGCTCAATGTTCCATAGCCTACCCTCAAGATCAGATGGCCTAGAATGGCGCCCAGCAAACGGGGCATTCCACTCCCCTCTCTGCCATGTATCCGCCCGCCTCATGCAGCAACCGGAAGCTGATACCGAGCTCGTTTGCATCAGCAACATTCCCGTCTCTCCGTCGCTTACATATCTCCTTATGTCTCCATCGATTTGGCCTTTCTTGCATTCTATGGCCAGCACCACCATCTCTCTGATGGCTCGATGCTGCGTAAGATCCTTGCTGGTAGCGCACCTCCCATGCCACCTCATATTTAAGATCCTGCCTGGGATTCCCGCTGGGAAGCTGTCCGTGACGGATGCCGTGCAGACAAAAGGCATGGCGGCAATGGCCGTAGTCGGGCTGAATGAGTTTGTCGCGTCGCCGGTGTAGCTGGCTTGGCCACCTTACTTACCTGCCCCCTGGCCGTCCTCTTCATGGTCGTTGCAGGCCCAAAACTGGCGACGCATGTCGCGGTCCGAGGAGCAAAATTCGCGTGAGTTCTATCCATCCGGGGCACAAAGAGAATTGCTGAATTCGGTGGCAAAATTGAGAAGAGTAAATCGACGCAATACAGGCCAATTGGTGGTTGGGCGTGGAATTGAACATTATTATTCCAGACTAGAACTTTGTGAAGAATCGAGTATGCACCATTCATTTACTTGTCTAATCAGCAAATTATTTAATGAATTCACTCAGTCAGTCAACCAGCTAGTGTTGACTCCAACAATCACTTTGTTTGAAAGAGCACAGTTAATTTCTCCCAAGTCTACGAATCCATATTGGTTAGTTTTGAAAGATGCGTCAAGTAAATGGAGTAAATGGATGATAATGGAAGTTCAGGAGTATTGGCCGTGTCGGCGCAATTTTAATTGCGCCAAGTGCGAGACAAATTACTTCAATTGATAGATGTCTATTTGAAAGAAAATATTGCAGACGCACTGATGCGATTTGTGGAGCACGCAACTGCAAGCCACTGTATTATTTGACAACCTGATTGTAGTACGCAAATCAATGGGGATCTCAACTGGGCGCCCATTCACCGCCTCACAATCAGTCAAGCACACCAATTGATCGAGTCATACGGACGCAGATTCGCCGAACCTCCCTGGTCTGGAAATCCCCCGTGTCCGTGCATCACGAAGGCATCAGCGCTGGGCGCTGAGCGTTCCGTTGGCCTGCCGGACGTGGACACACGTTCTCTGGGGTACTGTTCCGGCAATTGAGGGTCCAATTCGAAGGGCAAAGCTCTCACGCAGAGATATGCATTCAGTCATCAAGTCGGTGTTACAGGCGTCAGAGCGGAACAAAAAGGCGCAGATAGCCTTTGCTCCCTCGCATATATACATCATTACAAGTACATCGTGCACAGTTATAGTCCAAACTGTTCTCCAATTGTCCCTCCTTCACAGAATCTCCACTTCCGACCGTCCTAATCAATCCGCCGTCATTTAACAGCTCGTCAACTTCCAGATTACCCTCGTATTGCCGTAACTATGCGTTACGTCTGGCTCCCTCCGGCTTCCCGCCAAGACACATTCACTGATGGAATGAAAGTACAATATTCAAACAGCGAAGGGGTGTTCCCAAAATATCTCATTCGTTAAGCCTTTCCGGTCCCTGCCACACCGTGACTAAGCTTTCTCCCAACGATCAATCCCAATCAAAGCCCATCAAATGCAATTCCCCCCTGGCGCGGGAGGGTTGGTTAAAACGAAGTGGAGTGGGCGCGCGTGCGCTACCCCCAAAGAGGCCCATGGCGTAGCCTGAAACCATGGTGACACGCGCACCCCCCGGAGAGGCATGTACATGCTAGGTGAATGTGTCCCATGAGCGTCTCGACGCCCTTGCTAGTAGGCGAGCCATTGCAATCGGACCAAAAGTTTTCCCCCGCCCACCTCCGGGCCGCCCGTAAACCTGCCTACTCCGCAGACTCCGCAACCAACACTTCATCCCAGGGCGATTCCCCTAACATCTATTCCATTAGCTGTTCTTCGGAGACGTCACTCGGTCGTCACAGGATCTTCCTCTTCTGATGATGTAGACTTCAAATTACCGCTTCAGGTACAGACGTCCAAGACGGTTGCACATACAGCCCCCAGGGCTCTAGCGCAGCAGGGTTGGGTTAGAGCCAACAAACTTCTTGGCGTGGAAGCGGTTGGAGCATTCTGCAAGACAGGGACCGACCACAAGAGCAGTTCCTGGAACTGAGTTCCGCGACGTCCGACACCGGCACATTTTCACACAGAGGCGGCCTGGTGGACAACGTTCGATATCCGAGGAGCGGGCGTCAGTCAGTCTCTCACCCTGATGTGAAGGGCCATCTCCCGCCAAGGGGCCGCTTCAAGCCGCCTGGCGGTCACCACGTGCCTCGCGCTTTCCCTCCATCCCCGACGCTGAAAGCCCCGAGCCGTGACGAAACTTCCAGGTTGGTGTGGCCCAGGCGTTGGGGAGCGGACTGACGAGGGTGCGGGCGGCGAGGGGATTTATGGCCTTGCTGGTGACGCACCATCCGGGTCAAGGACACGCGGCAGACGGATCAACGTCAGACTGCATGTCCCTCAAAGTACATGCTGGCGGTTGAGGAGAGTCAGACAGCACATGCCAAGGTGCACGCCCCGCGCGCACCTGTGCTTGTAGTCATGGCACGTTGAAAACCGCTCGGCAATTGCCAAAGGTATGGCCAAGGCCCCTGCAGCAGCGGTTGGATTCAGAGATGTCCGACCGACACTAGAGGGGGCACATAAGTAAACAAAGCTGCAATGAGATTATTAGTGCAGGTTCCTGTGCACTACCAGTGCTGCACATCAAGTCAGAAGAGCTCTTCCGGTTGGTTTATATATAGAAGTATCTATATAAAACTATTATATATAATATAAACCAACCGGGCATATAAAGACCATAATATCTGTGGCGGAACGTATGGTATCCTGTTGAAGCGCTGATTTCCGTACATTAGTAGTGTATTGTAATTAGCTATCCTATTAATGAGTTTCTGCCAAGGACGAAGTTGGGTGGGGGCACGCTGGCTGGCCCGGCCCGGGACCAGTCTTTCTGGGCCATTTAGGGCCAAACACTTCCGATTTTCTGCTCCCCCTGTGCCCGGGGTCAGTTCTGACCGCTGGAACAAAAGGCAATTAGTTGATCCTTGTAGCCTGATCGTAGACAAGGGGACAGGGCAAGCTGGGCCTTGGATTTTGCAGGAAGTTTGGCAGCAAATGGGATGGCTACTTAGGCAGCACCCTCGCTGCCTTCCTTTCCTTGTTTCGCACCCACGCAGCCCGCCCTAATAGAGTGGGTTCCGGTTAGCTGTGGGTTGGAGACGGAGTTGATCCTGAGGAAACGCCATAAAGTACTATGCGAAGCGAAGGGCACGTTTTCAAGTGGGTCACCGTTGGGTCTTGTATTGGTGAGGTGGTGGACACCAAGCACGTTGTGATGTAATTTATTGTCGTGTGGGGAACACGGAGGTCAGGGTTGGGTGGGGGTGGGTGGGTTCATGGGATTGGGGTGGGGTGGGGTGGGGTGGGGTGGGGTGGGGTGGGGCGGGGTGGGGTGGGGGGTGAGGAGACCGAATGGGAGAAACCGAGTTACAAATGGACCAGCTCGTGCAATCTTAACGAATCAACAAATTGATTGACTACAATCCAATCTTGCACTCTTTTCTTATGGCACCCTCCAGCCGGGCAGCCAACCGTTCCAGCACGGCTTCTGAAGCAGTGCAGATGTCTCTCCCATAGGGAGACCGTGCCCCAGCGCAATTGATTCTACATGCGATGCTACTTGACCACATTGCAACCAGCATGGTACCACCACTGCAAACTTCAATCATGGCATGATCGGGAAGTGATGAAGCGTGGAAAACGGAAATCTGGCTACAAATCTACTGGGTTGAGTAACGTGCTCAAAACACTCACAGACACACCAATTAACCAGCCATTGCCAATTCCACACCTGCCACCAATTACCTGTCGCTGACATTCAAAAGACCTGTCCTCAACTGACCTCGGCAGGTCTCCAGACAGGGTGCCTGTCAGCATGGGTGATACGACCGAGTGACAAAATTTTGTCAAGTCAACGCGACTTGCGAGCACGAGGAGCACCCAAAAAGCGAGTCATGTTCCTCGACGCGAATGCTGTGACCAGTGCAACGCAGCCCACGGAAGGGCCATGCTCCTCATCGCCATCAGTGCGGCCTCCGAAGCAAGGCACGCATCAGAACAGGCCGCACTCCTTCTTGTTCTGGACTTGGCGCCAGGCTGGCTGGTCCTTGTATTCCTTCCGGGTCTTCTTGAAGATCTCCTTGAATTCCTCCTCGCTGAGGTAGTCTTCCTTGTGGGCAGGGTCTATGCCGTCGACGGCCGTCATTGTCTTCAGCTTTTCGTAGGGGAAAACGTCCTTGAGGGGCTTGTACTTGAACTCTGCTGGCTGGACAGGGGTCAGGGTGACGGCTGGCGTCGCGGCTGCCTCCTGGGACTCTTCCTTTTTAGCCAAGGGATCGACGAACGCCTTGGTCCTCTCCTGGGCCACCTTCAACAGCTCGGTTGCCTGCATAGCAGCGCACACGCACCAGTAGTGTACGTGTAGCAACACGGAGTCGAGCCATGCATCGTACCATTGACTCGTCCACGTACCAAAAGATTGGTTATGTTCTGGTCAACATTCGCTCACGTCCATTGCTGTTGACCAGCACTCCTTTCACTCGCCACATCAAGTCTTCCTTACAATTATATCAAGAACACCGCTGCCACCATCGCACATTAGTCCAGGCACGCTTGATCACAATGCTTGATGCCTATTACCAACGGAGCCAACTGCACCACGATACTCAGTTGTGGGCAGCAATATCAGTTCAAAAATGAGCTGACCACATACCAATGCGGGCAAACAGTCCTCAGGCAGTAGGATCAGCACTTGACAATGTGATGGGCATGCACCACCCTACAAGCAGTTCTACCTACTGCAACACAGTGCACTGCTGCTTTTCTGTGTACATCGATTCTTGCATGGCAGCATCAAGTCCACACTGCACACTGTCGCTACCCAGCAATGCTGAGTTGTGCCGGTGGGATATACCATTGCAATGATTGCCACAAATCCCCGTGTAACAGACCATAACCTCGTTGAGCAAAAGTTGCCATACTCATTTCCACTAGTCAAGTTGTCAGATATGCGCTAGCGAAAATGACAACCAGCAAGTTAGGCCCCCTCATCGTCCGCTGTACCATTCTGTGGGCTTGGTGCTGCACTTGGGCCTTGCACACGTACACATTGACCTGAAATGTTCAGGCATTGCTTTTGAACTGACACCAACGACAAGCTACTTGTAAAGCGCTCTTTGTTGTTGCTTGCTGTTCTTCAGGAAAGGGGAGGTGGGTTCATCCTCTTCGAGTGTGAAAAGATGTCACATGGGAGCTTCACAGGAAGTCAGAGACTAGAGGAGACTCAAGAGTACAAAAACTGAAGCAACAGTAGGCCAAAAACTTCAAGAGGAGAGATGTTTTTCTTCCTGCGAGTTTGCATGGCTGCTTTCAAGTTCCATAGCCCACAACGCCCACTAAAATGGTAGATTGCTCTGATTGACGCACCGTTGAGTTGGCCTGTTCTTCCTCAAAATTCTTCAGTTTGGAGTCGTAGGGATCCACAAATGCTGGCTCTTTAGTGTCATCCCAGCCAACAAAGTGGCACTTGAAGATGGGGGGCTCCTGTCCAGATGACACGTATGTGATTGGCACATCGCAGCTGCGCCCATTCACTTTGCTGACCTCCTCCAGGTACTTTTGAGCCAAATCGAATGCTCCCTTCTTCTCCTGCTGCCTCGAATCTTTGCCCACCCACAAAAAGATCTTCCAAAAACACAGGAAACATTAGCTCCTGCCATAGCGCCTGGGGCACGAAAACGATGCATCAGGGTGCATGCTGTGACGATCTGCACCCAATGGCCACACACATCTCCTTGTATCAACTTCCTGTGTGGGAAGGCACAGGCCCACAGGTGCTTTGGATGTTCCAAGTGGTCTGAGGAACATGACATTCTCAAAGTGGAAGACTGGAAGTGCTGGGGTCATTGGGAGTCATGGGGATGCATTTTGATTCAGCTGCACAACACGTTCATGCACAGTCGTAAAATACGGGACATGGTAGGTTTTGGGATGCTGTGCCCATTCTCGGCAACTCATCTACAGCCCAAAGAAAACATTGCGCAAAAACATCAACCACACATCAAAAGCACAGACATCAAAAGCATCGTCTTTTGCCAGCCAGACTTCCAGCCCTAAATGCAGGAACAACACCAGCCATAAACATGAGCGTGTGATGACATGGTCTTCATTTTCTGTTCAAGCTCTACAGAACAAGTCAATGGTCAGACCACCAGTCACTGCGCTTTTCCTATGACACGTTAACCAGCTGGGTTTTGGCCAACCAGTTCAGCTGATACAGCACAGTGATGGGCCATTTGCCATCGCACCAAATGCAAATGCTTGTAATGAAAGTATTGGTTTCTGCATGGGTTCTGCCACAAACATCCATTGATCGTGACATCTGTGCTGACAAAGTCTGAGCACTTCCTTCGATGCCATTTGCACACCTCTCTGAATGTGTCCAACATCATCACATCTCTCTCGTCCAGGTCTGCCTGACTAAAGTGAAAGATCTCCTCCACGTCAACGCCTGAACCTCCTGTTGTTGCGTCTGACACCTGAAACAGGCGTGGGGGGCACTCAGGGGGGCCCAGGTCACCCACTTTGGGGTACTCCTGCTTGCCTGGAGGCAGATCACATGATTCAGCAAGTGGGAAACCAAAGCAAACAATGCTGCCATGCTACCCAAAGCAACTAATGCATCAATTTGGGTTCACTTGCCTTCCAACATTTGTAGAAATGAAGGTCATATGCCAAGATGATGAGAGTCACGCTCACTAAATTACAGACAGAGGAGCTCCAGTGGGGACTTCATTTGCTACCAGCAACTCATCTAAGCAGGCCACATTCAACACACTCATGTGCAAAAACGAATATTAAGGCCAACCAAGTGAAGCTCGGATTATGCTGATATGTGAACCACAAACGTGCCAGCAACTGCCTCCATTCCACAAGGTAACTTCGCTTCAACTCTCAAGTACAATGCAGGCTTGGACAAAAGATGCACCACTCACCCCCCAGGACCTCCCAGAAAGCATCGTCTTCTTCCCCTTCCCCAATTGTCTGCACATCTTTGGAGTCTGCAAGACGCTTTGCTATCTTGGAAGCAAACTCCTTTTCCTCTTTGGTGCTCATGCTCCCCTCCCACACCACCACCTTGCTCTTTTCGACAAGGACAAACACGTCCCCCGAGTTCAAACTCAATGCAGATGTGGTAAGCTGCGCGTGCACAGATGGGGCAACCCAGGATGAGCACAATATTCTGCACCCAGCATGTCAGCTGCAACAAACCTCACAATGCACCACATCATCAAACCCCACTCCTGCTGGCATCTATTTGCATCTCGTGGAGACACTGGGGCCAAAGACGGTGCTGGGACAGGATGCACTTACAAGTAAGTTGCTTTGATTAATGCAATGTTCTGTCAATGATGCGAATTGTGCTCCAAATACAAGTATTGTCAACTCAGCCCAATCAGTTTCCAATGCTAAGCATCGGCAAGCTGTGTCAGGCAATGCTTGCACGAAACTCATTAAAGGTGGCCTATGTGAGCTTGTAGTACAGATAGCAAATCGTGTACTACAGTGCACATGTGCACATTACATAAACACACATTTACACTGCACTGTAGTATAGTCGACCCTTCTGCATAGTAACATAACGCTTGGCCTTGTTTTGCGGAGAAAAATCAATATGCAGCAATGCAAAGTTTGGCCTTTCTTGGTGGAGCAACATTAAAAAAAAAGAACGCCCTGAAAAACAAAAAGCGGATCAAAAAGCATGATGGTTAAAAAGTCTGGTGCGGAAGGGTCGAATATTTTACAGTAGTACATGTCACGCAGCTGAGGATCTAGTTGTCAGAAGCTAAGTGTCGGGATATCGTCCGTGCTGGCAGACTGCTTGCCATCCACCCACAGGACAGTGCACTGTTCTCAGGGCAGTTGGGGTGTGAGGGGACAACAAAGCAGCGTTTTGGGATCAAGCAATGATGTGGACCATACTGTCGATGTTTGCAGTAGAGGTCCTTGGTCAAAGTTTTGTCATACTTTCATACTCCATTTGGTACCCCAAAATGTCTTAAACAACTGCAGTATGCCTTGTGAACTCAGTCACAGTGCTGCACGGCTCACAAGACCATGTATGCTCAGCTGCTTGCTGCCAAATATAAGCAGAGGTGCCCACACGTAGGTAAGGTACCAAAATGTGCTGGACATCAACGACAAAGCCCTGGGAGTTGTAACTAGTGACTATTTGGCAACGGCAATGGCAACGTTGCTGGCTTCTGTTACAGTCTCAGATGGTAACAGCACTTCCCTTGAGAACAGACTGGGATGTCCTGGGTGGCCCAACTTGCCATGGTCATCACTACCTTTTCAGTGGCAAGGACAAATCCAACTGCATATCACATGCAATTGTGTTTGAAGCGACAAAGCGCTGTGCTTAATTATAGGTACTACAAAGTAATGGTGTTGATCTCCAGTGCAACCTTGAAGCAAGATGAGGCTAGCTTTTGCAAGCCTGTCGTGGTACGGGCCCTTGCTAGAAATGGGGATAGAACTCCACATCAAGATGTCTGTAGTTGCATTGCCACAAAAACAAAGCACACTCATACTCTTCGATGCACTGAAACGCCATCCTTGCAAATGTAGGCAAGACTGATAGCCATGACTGTTCAGAAGGTGGTGCCAATGGCAAGTCCTGCTTCCCTTCAGGACAACACCTTCTACAACACCTTGTCAGACCAAATGAGCTGCACGCAATAATTCTGGGTCCTAGAATTTTCGGGTCAGTCTAAACACCTGACGAAAAACAGGGACTGAGACATTAAACCAAGGACCCACTCATTCTCTCTGCAGTGGTGTGGGATCGGTGAGTGTGCAAGGGACACAAAGGAAAAATAGCAATTCCTTCAATGAGCCTCACATGCAAGCAGGGCTGATACTATATGGCAAAAACGCTGAAAAACTTCTCCACAGTCCAACAAGAAGATCAGAGACAACAACAATTTGCTGCACAACAATGGAGATGGCAATCTGGACAGGTTCAAACAGCAGCTGTGGATAACGACAGTACATGGTATTATGGCGCCATACCAAGATGATATTTGGAGCCATAAAGGTAATAAGATTTAAGGCTGTGAAATGTGTTGGGATGGAAGCATAGCATCTGCTGGTGGTCTGATGTTGATACCCCAGGCAGTTCGATCAGCCAAAATACATAGGATACAGTAGCAAATTACCTGAACAGCACGAATGCCCTGTGGCGATGTAGCCTTCACTTGGTACAATGCGGCACCAGTTGGGCCCTCCCTCCCCTCAGGCTTGGAACCATGCCCACCCAACTGGACAATCATGCCTTCCGGAAAAAGGTGGAGAAAGTGGGTGGGCTCATTGTTCTGCACCACTCGGACCTGAGTATCCAACACAGTCAACAGCCGCAGAGGTCAATGACAAGGTCAAATGGCTGCATCCCTGGTATGAAAAAGATTGTTGCCCAGCTTGCTGTTGTGGTGATTACAAGTGCATGAAAACACTGTGGCCATGCTATTGCCCAAATGCACGTGTGAGGCACAACGCTCCATGTGAATGCAACTGGTACCTTTGCCGCTGTGCTAGGTAGAAAACGTGGACACCACCAAAGTGGAACACATCTAATCTCTAAACCTAATTCTTTAAGCAAGGCAGTCCATCCCACTGGCCTTACGATGCAGAGTTTGGGAGGTCTGGAGTACACAGCACATGCCAGCCAGCGGCTGGACAGTGTCCTGCATCAAGCAGTCCACAAAATATGCTGCATCTACTCTGTGGACCAATGACAACATCACTGGCTTGGTTATCAACATCAAACGATCTGGCTTGTGAGTGCCCCAGGAAGTTGGCGTGAACATGCCAACTGAACCCAGGGCGGCTCAGTCTCCCTGCGGTCACCATGCCATGAACTTCCAAGTTCAGGTTGGCACAACAGTGTCTTGCAACAAGCTGAGCCACAGGAAATGTTTCAAAATGCAGCATTCAGCCCTTGGCAAGCAAATTCTGACAAAAGGTAGTGTCCTCTTGCTGATGCTGCAAACCTGAACTGCACTTCCACCCAACTCATCATCGAGCTTGACAGCCTGTGCAGCACTTGCAGCCTTCTCTTGCACTGAAGAGTCCTGCCCCTGCCAATAGTAAATCATGTGTTGGTCGGCACCTGAGCAACGAAACAGCACTTTAAATGACCTCAGAATAACTCAATTTGTACTCAAGTGATGACGCTCAGGAAACAATTTGAAGTAACATTTTGAGATCTGCAGTAGAGTGCTGCACAAGCATGGCCCTTTATGCATTTGTTTCCAATCTGGCTGCCAAGGACAAGAAGAAACAAGGCAGCATTGCGAAGCGACTTTCATTGAAAAGAGGAGAGACACGGAACACCACATCCCGTGTCCAACTCAACTCATCATCCAATACCATCACCAAATCCTGCAGGCCTGTGGACAACTTAGCCACTGGGGCTGTGCATGAAAAACAGATCTGCTCCAAACAACTTTCTGTTCACAAATCCTAACACATTTCAAATGAATGTTCAAGTGCCACCTGTCAATATTTCAGTGGGTCAGCTAATGTTTGGCAGGGCTTGCTCGCCTGCTGATGGATAGAATAATTATGCAGCCAAAACATATCACAAACAGGCGCAAATCGGTTAGTATGCTTGACTTACCTTGCTTTGCTGCATAGCTGTACTTTAAGACATACGAGTCGCCTGCGAGAAAGTCCCCATACTGGTCTTCTGGCACCTCTTCCAGTTCATTGTCCACCACCCGCCAGACTTTGGCCTTCCCACTGGAGGACACATCAGGCAGTGTGTCCTTGACCACCTGTCCAGTCTTCCCTGCCACCATGGCCTGAATATCAATCTGTAACCACACCACATTGGAAGTTGAGCTCCGTTGTGAGCTGTTTTATATCCCACTCCAAGTAGCTGGCCAATTCTTTTGTCAATTGCCGAGGTTTGTGCTCATGGTATCTAGAGTAGCTTCTTGGTTTTGCATCGATTCAAGGCCTACAGATTCAGACACTCCTGTATGTCACCACTAGCCAACTCATCTGACCACCGAGCTATGATTTAAGTCCCCGCTGTTTGCAACAACGAAATTGCAAACGATGAAACTCAACCGGTTGTGAATATCCACGCAACAGGAACACCATCATGCCAAGGAACTGAATAATTCAACCTGCAAGGAGCCCTGCCCTTTGTTTCTAGTCCCTGTTATGCTTCTTTTCCCTGTGGACGATGGAACATTCGATCAGGCAAAACACAATTCCTTTTGACCAAGAGCCTCAGATGTCTGCTATCGCATTGGCTGTTGGCAACATTCAATCTCTGTTGACAACTGTCCCCATTCAGAAGGAAATCGTGTATGGCACTCTCAACATCAAGCCTGAACATCCACACCTTTACAAGTGCTGCCAAGATTCACAAGCTGTTCAAAGAAATCAACAACAGCAATCCTCTTCAACTGTTTCAAGGCAGAAGAACCAAGGAGGACTGTAGTAAGCTTCGAAGGATGGTCGCCCTCCAACAGCTCTTGAAACAGCCACATCGACAGAAATCACCCACATGTCCTGCTTGGGGTACCAAATGCCAAGGACCTCCTTCACCTTGTGGTCACACGGTGACATCTATCTCCTTTGAAGGAACTCAGGGTTCCGACCAGGACAACAATCACGATCATAAGAACTGCTAGCCAAACTAGCAATGCCAATTATTTGATCCAATTAATGCTTTGTCGGGCACTCAGTTCGACAGTATCTGCAGAAGTAAACGAAATCTATCCACATCAATAGACACATCACGGCCAAGTATCAGCTGGCACGAGCACACTTTCAAATTTTCAGCCAAACTGGTCTTCAACACTGGGGACATAGACCACTGCATTGCTAGCGGGCCCAAATGTCCAGTTCCCCAATCCCCAATGGCTGTAAACAGGCCATCAATGGTTCATGAACAACTCCTGCAACTGCTCGCGCATTGGGCAGACAATCTACATGACCTCCATATGCCACTCACACCAACGAGTTGCTTGCTGAACACCTACCTCTGTCTCTCCCTTGCTGTGTGCAGTCTTGGCCTCCACTAACTTTTCTTTGTGGGTTTCTGCCTGCCACTGGAAGAACTGCTGCTCAAACAGTGGAGGTTCCAGTCCCTGCTTGACCACCTGGACAACACATGGGCCAATGCACCAAAACTCTGTCACTACAGGAAGAGGCATACTTGCTTCACATTTCAGAACAGGAAGAAGAACAGAAGAGAAACAGTGTTCTGTCCTGTTTACGTTGACCAAAAGCACCCTTGGCTGAACAAGTGTGCAGCACTCCTTTGAATCTCTCTCCACCTGACGGCAAGAGCAATCGCAGCCAATTTGTTGAACTTTGTCAGCAATCAGGTATACTTGATCGCTTGTTGCACTGTTCCCATCGATATTCAACCCATCGCTCAAACAGTCCAAAAAGAACAATATTACCTTGCAGCACTCATTCAAGGTTTAATAAAGCCAAACAAAGGATGATACCAACTCCAAGTGCTTGTGCAGATGTCAACTTCCAACAACAAGATGTGAACGCCCAGAAACTGCAATTCCAAGCAACTGAAGTCCTCTGATACAGAACATAAAGTCATCTTTACATGCAAGGCAGGTGATTAGCATACATAGCCTTGCACACACTGGGGTCCCCAATTCTATCTCTTCATTATGTGGCCCACAAAAACTGTCCCTGCTATGGGTTTGTCACAGATACGACTGTTGTCCACGTGACACTGGGACAGGGCAGAGCATGCCATACTTTATTATTCCATATATGAAGTTATGCGTGGGAGCTAATGAATGCCAGATTGACTGAATCAGTCTCCACACATAAATCCACACAATCCCTTGATGTGTGTACCATTCACAGTCCATGGCAGTCCAGACCTAGATGTGTGTCCTGAGATGAATTTCAATGTAAGGAAAACACAGCAATGAGCGCACCTGTCCTCAAAAAACCATGCACAAATCTCCAATGGCAAAGGGAGAATGCCATGCAGCTACGCATGAACCACAACATTGCTATCAACTATATAGCACGCCCACAGCTGCTCACAGGGTGTGATGTTGCCACAAGGGTGCTAGGCAATTCTTTTTACTTTCTGAGCAATTAGGCCAGACAGCCGCAAGTCAGAGTAGTCCTAAAGTCACATACAGAAGTGCTTGTGCTGGGTCCCAGCACAGGGACCCAGGGAAAAGTTCTGTGTGTCCTGCACAGCACCTGCGTCCTCATGTCCACAGGGAGGTCCTTCCAAATCAAGAACCTCGTCGCTGTTGTCCAGATGGCCTTCTTATCCTCCTCTGGCAGGCCTCTGCCTTGCCATATGTACAGTGCTCCTCCTGCATAGACGATGAACATGCCATTGGTGTCCAGCATGTCACGCTTCATCTTGTCTGTTGCAACTTCTGTAAACTTCCCTTCACATGCCTGACACACATGGAACCAGCCAGCAGATGTCAGCCTGTGCAAGGGTTACACAGTACCCTGCCAGTCTGCCACACAAGCCTGCAGGCAGGTAAACACCAGGCAAACTGTCCACATGTTCCCAGATACACTGTCACACTGCACCCCCACAATTCTGTCACAGCATGTGTGGCCCCAGCACTGCAGATCATAGGGTAATGTCCCCTACATTCAGGGACTCCTGCAGATGCCACACCTGAAAAATGCCAACTGAGCAGTAGTTGGTTGGCGCACTTGTACAGTTCAACACTGGCCGCTGCAGTAACAGCTACCACGAATGATGAAACACAGCAGGCCTGATGCAGTGTCTCAATTCACTCAAAAACAGTTGAAGCCCCAGAAGCTCAGAAAATCCAGTACCATCCAGTTATTTTTTGACTTCCAACCAATGCATCAACAGAACACATAGCGCCAGCCAGTTGGACAACCTTGTACAGAGCAGGAGCAGAAAACAGTGTCTTCGTTTCCTTCAGTGCTGATGGCGCGATTTCGAGAGAAGAGAGGTCATCTACCCCCAGCTTAGCATAAAACTTCACAGCATTCTCACTGGTGATATCTCCCTCTTCCAACACCGAAACCTGCAACAAAACTCCAGTAGTATGGGAGTCACAAGGCGCCAACGCAAAATTCCACACAAGTTGGGGGCAATGGCAAACACCAGCAGCACAATTTGTGGTGTGCACTTTGTGATACTGTGCAGACCGCACTTGGCAAGTCCGACATGCAAGTTGGCTGTCTTTTCCAGCAGCTGTTGTTGACCACGCTAACTAGCTTTTCCTTCAATCTGCAAGGTGGAATGCAACATCAACTCTTACACTGCATTTGGCATGTCAGTGTTCCAAACACAACAGCATACAGCATAAAAATAAAACCAAAATCAAGACAACACTAAGAGTACCAGAGTGACTAAAGTAAGCCACGGCTAGTCCACAATGCCTTTGTGGCCAACCAGGTATCAAGCTGCTCACACATATGTAGGAAGAACATGTAGAAGACATGTGTCAACAGCTACCCAGGATCAAATGAGATATGGGGTAAGTACAGGATGCTGAGATCAGCAAGATGTTGCAAGTGTCACTAAAATCTGCAGATGGACTTAAAAACGTAGTATAATTCTTGGCCTAAACAATGACATTGGGCGCAAGTCTTGTTTTCTGCTGCACCACAACTGCCCTTTCCGATCTTCTGACTTGCGTGAATGCATTGGTGCCCTTCCGTAATGGACAATGCATCAGCCCCAGAATCCAATGAAAGAACAGGCGTGGCTGCATTGTATTTGGCTGAACACTCAGGCCAGGTCAGTGTATTCCCGCAAGCTGTAAAACTTGAACAGCCACAAGCAACCCTTGGCAGTAGTTGACTGGATGTGCTGCCACAAGTCAGCCCCTGTGACTTGACCCGTTACCTTCTCTCCCATGGCAGAAGACTGAACAGAAATGAAAGAACCTGGGTGCCGTGGACCATATAACTATTCAAAGGGACCTGCATGCTGTTATTCCATCCACAAGGTCACAGAAGATTCTGCCAGCACACAAATCGCACCTTTGGGACACCATTGCGATCGTTCCTCAGGGCTATGGAGATGTCGAGAACCTTGGACTTCTCAGCAAGGTTAGCAGTGGAGCCATTCCACTGGTAGATGGCCAAGCCATCGTCTAGCACAAAGCAGTCTCCGCTGTTGAGAGACGACACCTCGACTGGAACCTCGGCTATTCGAGCGCGGTGTAAGCCATGGACATGAAGCAGCCTGGTCTCATACTTGACACCCTCCACCTTTGTAAATCCACTGGCCACACCACCGCTGAGGTACAAAACGCCTTCGGGGAACAACTGCCAACACCACATGCAAATTCAAGACTGTGACCTGCATGTAAGTAAGTGTGGATACATTATTTTTGGACAATTGAATGCACAACAAAAGTACTAAATAACTCATCTTCTACTGCAGATCACAGCGATAGTGCTCCCCCCGCACTGGGCCATCATCAACCATGTGGCATCTGGCACACAACCCGCCTGGGCAGAATTGAATTATGCACTAGGCATTGTCCATGGAGTTCAACCTAACTTCGCCTCAAAGGCGCAGGGGCCGCTGGCTGTCATATCTTTTCAACGATGACGTCAATTGATTCAAATACCATGAGCGATCTGCATCTGCAAGTGTTGGACCGGAACCACTTCCCAAAATATCCATGCAGCATACCATGACTCATCGCATGTTCTTGGCCACTCACTGCCAGGTGCACAATACCGGTCACAATCAATGGACAAGCAACAGAGGGTCTAGCAGTGAAGAGCAAATGCATGTGGTGTGAGTGGGACCTGTTCAAGAGTCAGTACCACAACCAACTGAGGACTTGTGCGACAGGGTACAAGACATGGATTCCACTTGGGCCTAGCTTGGGTGGCAAAGCGATATCTTGAAGATTCCAGGAAGTGACACACACTGGGGACGACAACATGAAGTGTCCCAATTACCAAACACTGTTGGCGATCCCAATAATCTGCCAATGCAAACGACAGGTGTCAGTGGGGGCTGGTGGTGATTTCCAAACTTGGCAGTAATAGACCACCGAGGACTTTTGGCATGATGCTATGTCAGAAGGTCTCAGGGTGGCGCCCTAAGCACCTTGCTGCCTTCTGGCAGGCACCAGAGCACTGAATAGGGATGAGTCGGGATCGGTGGACTTACGGAACCCCAGCGCTTATGGGATTCAGGTACTGCTGCATGCACTGAGGAACTTGTACTTCAGTGGTAACGCTTAGGCAACTAGCCCAAGCTAAATTAGCTTGCTTCACATTCTGCAACAAAGCCTATTTTCAACAATTCTGGAAGTGTTCTCTGAGTGGATCACATCACCTGTGCTATTCACCACACCAATGTCACTCACTGTGATATGCAGTTTTACTTTGCCCATAATGTTGCTTCCTGGGGCAGCACCAGATTCTAGCAGTCCACAACAAAAACTACATAACAACACCAGTCTAGGAAACCCCGCAACCAAGCTCCTGTCAGCAAAGAAGCAAATAAAGAGGCCTCTGCTGCTACGATCTTGGAATTGTGTGTGCGGCAATGGACCAGCATTATACACCACCAACAATGGAATTCAACAAGTTTGGGGTGTGTGGAGTCGCTGGCATGGACTTGCCATAAGTGCGAATAGACAAGAATAGAATTCGATGCCAGCAGGGTACAGATGCCTCTATTCGGTGTACAAACACTTTCCTGTGACTGCTGAAAGCAGCAAACAGCCTGAAAACCAAACTGGACAGTCATGAACTGTGCTGGACATTTTACATACATACCCCCTTGCAACAATCTCCCTGCCTCCCTGCACAATATCTGCCTTGCAGGCAATCCAATATGATAATATTTCCGATAGCTCTTCTGCACAGCATTGCAGAAACTTGTTGAATTCATGCATCAGAAGAACACTTCATCTGTATGTTGGAAACCAGACCAAAGGTGCAGTGGTATCAACCATGGAAATGAGTCCATAGTCTCATTGTGCTGCGAACTGACCGTCTACAAAAGTTCACAAACCATGGCCAAGAGAGGGTGCTGGAATGTCTGGGCATACACTATACATGTCTGGATGCTGGGGGGAGGGGTCTTCTGACCAATCCACCGAGCTCATCTGGTGTGGGGCCAAAAATGAGGATATTCTTGTAAGCAATATTTCTGCGCTTCTCTATTTCTTGGCAGGCACAAGCTGAAGCTACCAGACACAACAGAGTGCAAAGGTAAGCTATAGATTCACCTGCAGAAATTCCTCTGATTCGGATGCCTCGATTTCTCTAAATTGCACAGCAACACCTCCAAGCTGCTTGTCCAATGTAGTCGCAAGAATTGCTGCAGACCCAGATTCGTCCTAAACAGAACAATCCACACAATGCCTCCAGACAGTTCAGAATCTCACCAAAAATCAGATAATGGCAATGAGCTTTCTTCCCGTCCACAGCCAGTCATGCTGATACCAGCAGCACAAAACGCAATGTTGGAAACTGGGCTGATGACATTTGTTGACTCAAGACAGAGTTTCCATTTGCATCTAGCAGGCAGGATTGGGGTAAGCAGCCACAGTATAGTGTGGCAGGTGGCTGAAGATCAACAAGCAACTTCACAGCCATGCCTTCTGAGGACTCCTGAAGCGCTGCTGCTGATCGTGCACAGTGCGAATTCCAGAAACACTGGACACTGGCACGCATTGCCATGCGTCATTTTCTGTGTGAACAGCCAGGATCTGTTAAATTTCGCACACTCATGGGAATAGGTCTTAGTGAGCTGTGTTCAATGCCTGGTTTCAGCTTGAGCTGATGCTACAAAACAACAGGTGACAGGACGGGGTCACCGCCTTGCCCCAGATGGGCTCTCAGCAAAATCTTCCTGCTTTCAACATGCGTCATTATGCTGTTCTCATGGCAAAGGCACAGCAGGGGAAGGTCTTCCCCTGCACAAGGAACTGGACAGCAATAGCACTGTCCCCTGCCATTTACCTGGGAGGCCTTGCTGCCCAACCAGAAATGGATGCTGTGCACTTTCGAACTTCCACGCTTGAATGTGTGCAAGACGATGTAGCAGTCCCCTTCAAATGCCAACAAACAAAACTCATCCCATACCGCCATTGGTCTCATGCCCAGTTTTCGACCTCCCTGTTGACGGGGTTCTGAGGCAGATGCCCATAAACGCCCAGTGGGTCCTATACACTGCCTCATGGATCCCCATTGGTCCGCAGGTCGCAGTCTGGTCATTTCTCCAGCAGTTTGCACACGGCAGTTTCCGGGCAACACCACGGTGTGACACAAGGGGTGCCCTGCGATGGACGGATGTGCCCTGGCAACTGACCCTCAACAGTGGGGGCCGTCCCACAGAGCGAAGGACGGCACTGGACGCACGACATCGGGAGATACACCGCGCGGGACCTGCGCTTCTCAACGCGAACCAACGCGCAATGCCTGATGACGAGTCCTTGGCACAATTTTACCCACACCATCATCGGGCACCCAAGCCGGCATGGCCAACCCGACAGCAGAAAATCCATTAAAGGAAAAGATCCTGGGTGGCCCCCGACGTCGCGATGCGGGCGGGCACTCGGCTGTGCGCTTGGACAAACGGCTGGCCTGGGCCTTGAATGAATTGGCAACCACCCACTAGCAAGATCCGCCGGTAAATCCTGATGGGCTACGTCTTGAAAATGGACAAGCAGACAAAAAATAAGCAGTAGACCGGTCCAAACCTTATCACCTTTTGAAAAACGCCCCGATTTTCCCGCAGGCTGCTTCACGGGATTGAATTTCACCACCTTCCAGATCTCGACTCCGAGTTCCTTCCCCGCCCCCGCGAAGGCTTCAACAGAAGCGCTCATGGTGAAAAGGAGCTACACAAGGATAAGAGCACAGTCTGTGATAGCTTGGAGCCGGCGGCCTCTGCCCGCGAACAGTGTCGGAAGAGGTACTGCGGCAGACCCTTTAGCTGCAATTGTGCCATGTGCCATATTGTTGAAAACCTAACCTTGCGCTGCTGTAACTAGAACTGATTGAGTGTACCGTATTTACCCGGTATTAGTAGGCACCCCCTATTAGTATCCAACCCCCCTCTTTGGCGGTCGAAACCACGTTAGTATCCATGACCCGGTGTCAGTATCCACCCCAAAATCTCAACAGAAACGAGCTCAAGAGGGCTCGTGGAATTCGCCTTGGGGAGAGAAAGCTAGTTTTCATGTCTTTGTTTGACAACACTCTTGTTGCACGTTGAGGTCGTGCAACAGCTGCCAAAACAGCTGCTCATCCTGTGGTGCGATGCATGTGGTGGCTGCAAGCCTCACAGCTGGAGCAGCTGATCTGATGGGAAAAAATTTATTTGCTTGTTGAGCGACTGCAGGCCATGCATCTATGGCACAGTTGCTGGCCTAGAGTTGCCAGCATACCTGGCGGCTTTGCTTGTTTATGTAACAATTCTCGCCCAGGCGCTCGCCTCTGGCAGTCACACTGGATCCCGCGGCACCCCGTTGCACAACAAGTATTGTAAAGTGCATCCAACCACTTCAACTACGCGCAGCGAGCCTGTCAGACACATACAAACGTGCCTGCCATGCACCATGGGGTCTCCTTCGACATTTCCTGGCCGTTGGGGAAACAGGATGGTTGTTTTTGGTAGCACCGGGCCGTGCCTGGTGACATGCATGCCACACAACCAGCCGTCACCCCTGGCGCTTCTCACAACCAGTTTCAACACACTCTCCGCCAGGCTCGCCCAAGCTTGCCTTTGGCTTGGCCGGAGGTGCTCCAGTCGGGCCACACGGTAGGGCCGCCGTCCACCTCAACATGCTGGCATCTCCCGTCCAAATTGTTGATGAACAGGGAAGATGTTGGTGAGGATTTTGAAGGCTTTGTATCAGATATGGATGTGGACAGCGATTGATCATGAACGTGTTTCAGTGTTTCTGTTTGGGATTTTGTGGTGGCAACAGCATTGTCGCTTACAATATGGATTTGTCAATAATGTGGTGTCTGTGATTTTGCAATTTTGATTGGGTAATGTCGCTACCTATGCATCGAATCTTGCATTATTTCAAACGCCCCTTTGTGCATCTCAATGGCTATTTAAAATTTTTCTCTGTGCAATCCCTAGATCAGGGGGTCTAGGCCTCGTTAGTATCCATTACCCACTATTGGCATCCACTGCCCATTTTGAGGGTCCAATACACGCCTACTAATACCGGGTAAATACGGTATTAACAACTAAATGCGTAGAGATGATGAGGGTCTAGGAATTGCATTAAGGACATTGATGAACGGACTGAACATAAGGGACAGAACTCCTGTTGTCCCTTTGCCTCGGCTGTAAAATGTTGCCATGGACTCGACCATACGATCCCTATTCAAGGATCGCCACCCCTCGATCTTACTTGCCTTCGTCAATTGGCAACAAAGGTAAGGGAGTGTGCGAGTCGAGACATGGACCAGGTTTTCTTGTTGCAACCTAGAGCAGACTGAGCGCTGAGAGCACTAGACTTCTACGTTGCCCGGACAACCTGTCTGAGAACATTTTCCGGATCGAAGGTTCAACACATTCATCGAGCGATCGGTTGCGATGGGACTCCAACGGCCGGGAGTCCACTTCGTGTAGCATTTCTGGAGTGTTTATGCAAGAGCGCCATGGGCGATCAGCCGTCGCTGGGTGTGTGGGTTATTTCTGCATTTAGGTTTTGTTTGATTACAGTCAAACACGTTCTAGTTAGGGGCCGCCACTGTAATCAAGAAAAAAAATGTGGAAAGAAGAAAGGCATATGTATTCGGCAAGTTTTCCTTGGGACCACATGTCATACGGTCGAATTTGGTGGTACTACCGCTGCTCCATACCTTAGGCGAACGTGTGCACAATCAGTTATAGTCCAGTGTACATAAATCAGGACATCATCAGCGTATACATCCCCTCTTCTGCCATTCTGCCGTATTGCTCAACAGAACCATCATCAAATATTGAAATTTGGGTCCTTTTAAGAACAATATAAGGGCAGCACAGGCGGCTGCGACTGTGCTATGAACTGGCCAAGGAATAGGATGAAAACTAGCCGGTTGGACCTGCAAACTGACGGGATGCATTATAGTTTTTAAGTCATGCGTTTGTGGTATACAGAATTTGGATTCATGTGATTATAGTAGATTTTTCAGTACCATCAGCCGGGAACAAAGAGACACAACGTGCGCAGGGCACGTGGTGAGTGCCCCTGAATGGAAGGCTGGCCTTTTCGTGGGGAGTTTTTGGGTGATTTTTGCAGAGAAAAGGGCCGGTTTCTGGCCTCCTTTGAGGAGGCCATTGTTGCGGCCCCGTCGGCAGCCGCTGATTTCCAGAGGCGTTGGGGTCGCCCTGCCCTGCAGCTCGGCTGTTGGAGGTCAGCCAGACCTCTGCAACTTGGACGGTGGGTGTATCCGGGGCAGTCGCTCCTGTGGTCGCGCGGTGGGCCCAATGCTCGACGGATATCGATCCCCGGGGCCTGCTGTCGGCGAAAGGTGGCAGCGCAGCAGTTAGGCGGTTTGCTAGCTTGCGGGAGGCTAGAGAGTGGGCCAAAGGATGTTACAATGATTCACTGCATGCGCACGCACAAATTGCATGTGCGATGCCCAATCGCGGGTCCATCGCAGTCACATCAAGACAAGACAAGTCAAGTGCACGTTCAGGCACATCGCCACCATCCACCGTTCACTTACGACCCAATGTCCTCTAATTCCAAGCATCTAACCCTCGACCCCATGGCCCTAAGTACTGCAATTTTAGGAGGCCATATCTTTGCTGTTTCTTAACGGACTTGGGCGTTTAAGGGCGCGCTGGAACCAAGAAGCTCTAAATAATACTTACAAAAGGTCTATTTACCCAGTTACATAATTCCCACTCCAGAAAATGTCAATAACTGCCTAACCCCAAGTAGCCACGTTGTAAGGGGACGCAATTGTCGGGTGCAAGTTGCGGTCCCGCAGGCCCAAAGGGCCAGCCAGCCGTGCGGCAAGAGGCAGGAATTCGGATGCCAAAGCTTCGAGTTACAAAACAAGGAGTCGGGTGGCTATTTATAGCCACCCAAGAGCGGGGGTCTGGCAGCCCAAGAGGCGCTGCCAGAATGACTCATTCAATGAGTTTTTGTATTGTTTTGAATCTCCCGCCACGCGTATTCCCCATGTCCGCTCCACTTCCCGTCATTCCCACCTGCCCTTTATTACTAACCCTCCAGGCGTACCTCCCCGTAACCTGTCCCACATGTCTTTGAACCTAAACGGTATTTAGGCGTGTAGTTCACACCCCGTTTGCTACAAATAAATATCTATTATACAACCCGGTTCCTCTCCGGGTACCCCGCTAGTCTAATATACAATATATCTCTCGTGTTATTATACAAGATAACCCCTTTCTGTGCTAAAGTACATGACCCCCCTGAGCGTCCCTCACACCCAACCCCCACGGAAGCATCCTTCGAAGTCCCGAGGGAGTCTCCGTTATGATCCCCGCGCCGGGTAGTTGGCGATCGCAGGTAATCCGCCTCCCGGCGCCGGTCTTCCCTACGCTGGCACCACTGTGCCGTTGCCTCTTGCCGCCATCAGCCGCCGCCGGGCTTTGATCACACCTGGGGAGTTTTGTCCGCTTCCCCCCAGACGGTTGTGGCTAATGCTCATTAAGGGTCGCCGAGAGTACGTCCGTGCTCGTTCGCGCTCGAGAGCCGCTCGAAGCCAGAGCGCGGCGATTCAGAGTTCAAAGGCGCTGTGAATAAGCCGGTGCCCACTTCCCCCGCTCCCAGCATGGCGGCCATATTCGTTGACCCCGCGCCGACCTCAGCCTCCACCCAGGGCATCTCACTGCCGCCGCTTCTCGGTTGTTCGTCCTCCTCCCAGCCGTAGTATAGGTCGCTTCCCTCCTCGTCCATGTTCCAGGCTTCCGGCCCCATTGCCGACTCGTGCGGCTCCAACTTCACTGGCATTCCCTAGTTTATGGGGCTTCCGGCGTTCTCTCTATTGAGGATGGCCTCGTATCTCCACTTCATAGCCATCCGGTTCCTTTCGGCAATATGGGCGTAAGTCAAGCTCCAGGCCTCGGGTGTCGTCATCGCATTCGGGAGGGGCTGTGGGTAGTAGACCTTTGCGGGGAACTCCACCAATGGAGAGTTTACGGCGGGGGCAACTGCGATAGCCAGTATTTCCGCCAGCCCTGTAAATAGAGCCATGGCTCTCAGGACCCTTCCATTTCATCGTACCTTGTCATTGGGAAGCACGGCAGCCTTTGCCGCGCATATTTCTGTCACCGTTTTTTTGTTTGATGGGTCAGGCAGCGCTGGCTCGTGGTTGACGCCTTGACCGCCTACTGGCGTCTTTGATCCATCATGTCGAACCGCCCCATGACCACTGTAATACGTCTCTTGAGGCGTCTCCTTGCATGCCGCTTCACCGTCTGGTCTCGTCCTGTCTTTGTAGCAGGTGCGTTTCCTCGTGGCAAAGTTTTTGCCTTGACGTCCGATGCCCTGGCCATGACGTCCGCGAAGCTACCACCGGAACCGTTGTTCAAGTTTATTTCATTGTCAGGCTCGGCGTTGTTGAGGTCGTCCAGCTCTATGGTCATGTTACGCACAGCGGCCTGATGTAGGGGACGCCTTACTAACGGCCCTTGGTGTGGGGGACGCCCTACCCAAGATATGTTAACTAGTCCTCAACCCATGGTAACCATTCTAGTTATTAGGATATGGGAGTAGGAGGGGTGGTCCTGCCTAGGTCCCCGTAAGGACCTAGGTGCCCGGCAAGGCGGGTCCGCGGCTCAAAGAGGGCAGGAGCCCCACACCCACAACCTTTTCGTATCATTTGGTTTCGGAGCCACCTGAGGGTGGTG